GACATTCCTTGAAATAGCTGTCTTCTGCATGAAGTCCATGTCTCACTTCTATGGATGCAAAAGCATCTTTGTGAGGAGTCAAAGTTCAGCATCTATCAAACCTGTGGACTGTCTTTATCACTGCACAAGCTAGAAGTCTGCACACACTGACAGGCAGACTTAAAGCAGCTAGAGATATTCCTTATCAGTGCCAAATCCTGAGTATAGAGTGGCTTGAGAGAGACAAGGGGGTGCAGTAATATCTTTGATGGGACCGAGTCACCAATGGAAATTAGCCCCATAGAAGATATTACCTCACCCACATGTCTCTCGAATATCCTGGGACCAGCACAGCTACAGCAGCACTTTGTATGAAAAGTGGTTTGATTGTCTCAAAATGTCATAATCTTGGCCTTCCTTCAGTCACTCGTGTTCAAAAGTGACATTGCATGCTTTTTGGCTTTCTTGCCAGAAGGGACAAAAATACCTTTGCACGCTGTGCTCTCAAATTCTCCATTGACTTTGCCTACTGCGCTGACCACAGTAAGTCCCTCTTGAAATCTTTGAAGCTTTCCTTTACTTTCTATGGTAAACTTAAGCATTTTGTTCTCTGGAAAGCTTCAAAACAGCCTGGATGCTCCTGTATTTCCCTATCCACTTGGCCTGAAACATGATTTTCTGTTACTTTGGGGCTTGTCCGAAGTTTTGTTTTGTTTTTTCTTTACCTCTAGTTAATTATCAGATTATTTGAGGTTGCTAATATATTTGTAAAGTTTCAGATGGGTAGCATGTTAGTCTGTAACTAAAAATACCTTAAAAACAATGAATAGTCCTGCAGCACCTTAGAGACTATAAAAATGAAGATATTATGAGCTTTCGTAGGTACAACCCACTTCTTCAGATGAAGGGGGTTGTACCCATGAAACCTCATTATCATATTTGTACAGATTAGCCTGGGTCACTTTTAAAATTTTACAGATGCTTCAGACATCTGTAGTTAGCTCCAGTGCAGTGTGTCTACACTGTGATCACAGTGTACGCTTGCAACACATACATGCCTTTCCAAACCAGCCAGCTTTCTGAAAATAGCTGCAAAGGCACAAGCTTTTAAGAATGTTTCTCTCTCCCAACACACACTTTAGGTAAAATTATACTAAAATAAAAGTCCATTGCCACTTTCTTTCCTAAGAGAAGCCTTTCAAGTCCGCTCATGCCAGGTGAAGCCAATTTGTCTGCAGCCCCGTATAAGAAAGGGGAGGTGTTTAGGAATAATTTGTCTCGACTTGGCTACAGCAATTGTTCCACTAGAGGTTGATTTAGTGGTCGAGTGAAGACTCTTCACTCTTCTGTTGAGGCTTCTGCACCAGAATGAGTTGAATAAGACGAGTCAATGGCTTCTTCTGTTGATTCTGCATGGTTGAGACCCTGCAGTAAGTCGATCTAAGTTACAATGATTTGAGTTACGCCACTAACGTGGCTTAAATCGACCTGCCCTTATGTCAGCCTGCCATACCTTCTCTCTCCTCTTCCAAGTTCCTCATTGCCATACACTTTTGCAAAAGTTTTTTTTAAATCTTCAACTCATTTACATTAGTATTAATAGAGTAGAGGTCTGAAAATCTTTACCAAAAGGGTGGAAAAAAAAAATCTCAGGACCAATTGGAAGTTCTCTTCCTAGTCACTCTGTTTTCCATTCACATTTCCATGCCATTGCGCTGTTTCCAAACCCCCTTTTTGAATTTGTACAGTTTTTAAATGTAGGGCTTAGATTACACACAATTTTTGTAACCATATAATTATTTCAAGTAGGGGGTGTTGTTAATAGTTATACTGGTGGTAATGCTAGAGTGGGTGCAGTTATATTAATATAAAGGTATCCAGTACCAGTACAGGGTATTATCCTTTCCATGTGGAAATAACTGTCAGTATAAAACACTACAGGCAGACCCCGGGTTACGTCAATCTGACTTAAGTCGGACCCCTAGTTACGAATGGGGAGGGGGGTGCAGCAAGTGCGGGGTGCCTCCCCCACTGTCGCCACCTCCGGCGGCGCGGGGGGCACTTCCCACAATATTCTTGCCAGCAAGTTAAGGGAATGTGGATTGGATAATTGGATGGTAACACATAGCTGGATAGACCAGGGTTTCCCAAACTTTTTACTTTAGTTGGAACCCGGTTTTTTTCAGTATTATTTTTTGCAGCCCAAAAATATAAATGCATATAAAAAAAAGAATGAAAAATGAATAAATTTTTAGTGTTTCACCCAGCTGCATCCTCCGTCCAACATGGGCCAGGGCATGGGCACTCCAAGAGGCATGATCAGGAGCAGATTGGGGGTAGAGTATCTGGCTAGGAGGGAGGGTGCAAGGAGGGGTAGGGGTGCCAGGTGTCCGGTTTTGTACCGGACAGTCCGGTATTTTCTAATTAGGTCAGTTTCATTATTATTAGGTGTATCAGTCCGTAGCTGTGAGCTGCCTGGCTGGCAGATGTGCTCACATGGCATGAGTGTGTCTACCAGCCAGGCAGTTCACAACTACTCGAAGGATGGTATGGGAGGGGGGGGGCGAAATGGAATCCCCAGGGCCGGACTCATTCGTGTGCCTGGGTCTGCATGTGCCCACTCCCCCCCGCTCCTCCTCCCGATCTCCCCTGACCAGCCCCGCTGCCCCCATCCAGCCCTGCTTCCGGCAGCTGGTTCTCCCGTCCTCCTCCTCCCGCTCTCCCCCGTCCAGCCCTGCTTTGCCTGATCTCCGCTGGACAGCCCCACTGCCTCCAACCCTGCTTCCTGGCAGCCGGTTCCCCCACCCCACACACATACACACCTCCTCTCACCCCACCCTGCTCCCCTCCTGGCAGCCATGCTGAGGCCTGGTATTTTTTTCCCAGGGCCTGGTAGCACGCCACGGCCCATAGTTTGGGAAACGCTGCCCTACAAGAGAGAAGAGACATATGTGCTCAACACAATATCCTTTTTTTTTTTCTTGCTGCCCTGTGGTAATGAGAGCAGGAATATAGTGACAGGACTAAAATGCTAACAAATAGGTAAGCTCGTGCACTCATCTGCCTGCATGGAGCCCCCCTCCCTTAGATATCCATGCCGTGGGGTGGGCCGGGGGCGGGGCCGAGCATGCACCGAAGGAGTTGAGGAAGTCCGCGATCTTCCTGATGGAGCTGGTGATCACCTTGATGTACTCGCGGTTGGCCCAGTCCTGGTGGATCGTGGCACTGTGCCTGTGCAGGAGGGCAGCCCCGCCCACAGCCCGGGCAGAGCGTC